CACCAGGTCAATAAGAAGTTTGCTTCTTTACATCTTTTCTGGCCCTTTAGATGAAGGATAAGACAGCTATTTACCACCCCAGGGCAGGTCACCTGCCAAAGCAGACCTTGTGGGGAATCCTATCTACCAGACTGCATCTAATTACCTGCCTACCAACTGACTTCACTATTCAGAGACCTTTTTGCTTTGAAAGGCAGTTGCTGCTTCAGTCTATTTCCTTGGGTGAAAGAGGGAGCCATCCTCCAGGAAAGAATGGAAATCATCTCCATATTTGCTCCCATAGCAAAACTAAAGCAGAGTTAGCCTTCTTCCATGGGAAGAAAGGGGAGTCCTGAGCTGCCGTATCAGTAAACAAGAGCTAAAGGTGGAGGACCATGCTCTCCCCTAGTTAACAGGCTGCCTGGGGTCAGAGACACAATAGAGGCACACCAGGCAAAGTAAAATAACTGTCCTTTATCACTTCAGAAGGTCAAAAGAATGGGATCATCAGTGCCTTTCTAGTTCTGTGCTTCCAGCATACAGGTAGTCCTCAACTTACAACATTTCTTTTAATGATCATTCCAAGTTACAACAGCACTGAAAAAAGGGACTTATGACCGTTTTTCACGCTCTTGACCATTGCAGCATCCCTGTGGTCATGTGAGCAAAATGTGGATGATTGCCAATTGACACATATTTGTGACAGTTAAGAGTGTCCCAAGGTCATGTGATCACCTTTTGCGACCTCTTGACAAGCAAAGCCAATGGGGACGCCAGATTCTCTTAACAGCCATGTTACTAGTTTAACAACTACAGTGATTCACTTAACAACCGTGGCAAAAAAAGTCATAAAACAGGGCAAAATTCAACAACTGATATTTTGGGCTCAATTGTGATTGTGAGTTGAGGACTTACTTGTACTGATAACTTCTCTGAAGAGCTTCAACCAAGCTAGCTAGCTAAGTAAACTATAAGAACTTGTTTTAGTAACTGTTTTGTCTTTGTGCCACATCTTGTACATTTGCATAGGAAAACCAAAATGGAAATTACTAGTAGATGCAAAAGCAACAGAAGGGTGAATTCTTTGGTATATGTGTAACATGAGCTTTACATCCCTTTGTACAGGAAAAGTCATTTGAGGGGAGGTGTTCTGTATAGTTTTTCCCTAGTGTTTTACTATCTGGATGACTTAAGCAGTGTATGATTCCCTCCCAGTGCAACTGCTTAATGCTATTACTTCTCTGTACTCTCTTTGACTGCTTTTATAAACCTAAGTGATTGCAGTTTCTTCTGTTACAAGCGTTTGGTTTTTTTTTTTGCTGGCTCCAAAACTGGAAATCAGTTTTGACATATATTGTGTACCTTTACTACTGTTCTGGCAAGTTTATGCAAGCGTTATGTCACATCAGCTCAGCTATAAATCTGTTCTTACAGAAACTCAAACCCAAATCTCTTAATAGATTTTTGGCCATTTCCCCCCCAGCTTTGAGACTGGGATGTATCTGCCCCTTATTTAAGCAGTTATTCTGTCTAGGTCCAAGCAGCACAACCTAATTTTAAATTTTCCATCTTGACTAACTGACATTAGAGGATGACATTCACTAATGCAAATATTGGAAATTTGACATCTAGTAATCAGTGGATGAGCCCAGGTTCAAATCCCAGTAAGGGTATGGCTAGCTGATGAGAGCTAAATAGCTTGAAATAGATCTATACTAGTCTCCCTTTATTTATTCATCAGCACAAATACAACAAGTGTGTGTGTGTGTGTGTGTGTGTGTGTGTGTGTGTGTGTGATTTTGATCCCTCACGGTTAAATTATGCAAATTATAAACGTGGTGAATATGATGAGCCTTACCATTTGAATTTGAAAATAATGATTCTGTAAGGGGAAAGGGGGCTTCAGAATAGATTTACTATCATTTTTCATTATCACACTGTTGTCTTAGGTGATTTTTCGATCCAGACAGCAAGATATAAGAAATTGACTTTATTCCTGTGTACAGCTAGAAAAATTAAACAACTTATGTATAAATATATATAAAATCCTATCTGAAAGTCTTCAACATGGACTAAAAACTAAAAGTTCTCAAAATCACATGAGTGAGCAAATGGCATAGTACTGTTGATGCTCACATGTATTGGCAAGATGCCTGAAAAGCCATTTCAGGAGATATTTGTGTGAACAATTTGTTCTGTGGAAAGAACTACAGTGATTACATGTAATCACCTTGTCTTTTAAAAAAAGGAAGCTCACAAAGGTAATTCAAAAGTTGAATATACCTGGCCGAGCACTTGAAGAACAAAACTAAATTGCATCTATAATGCAGCTCCCAGAGAAGAAAGTATCTGATGAGGTAAAACCTGCTGCTCCTTTTATAATGCTGCAGTTGAAGGGCTACCTTTGAGTCCACTACTGCAGGGCTGTCAAACTCGCAGGGCCATATGCATCACATGCTGGCTACACCCAGTTTAGTGAAGGGGGAAAAAGTCCAGATACGTTATGGGGTGCTGCCATGACAACATGAGTTTGACACTACTGCACTAGCATGATCCTTTCCATGTCCCCCTTTGCAGTTACTTTTATTTTTTTCTCTGGCTACTTGCAGATGACATATCTAATACTTGAGGACAATGTGGACAACGATCCTTGCAAATTTGCTCTCATGAATCGGGAAACATCAGAACGGTTCATATTGCAGTCTGCCAATCCTGAAATCCAGCAAGCTTGGGTACTGGATATCAGTCAAGTACTTGACACACAGAGGGACTTCTTAAATGGTAGGTACTTTGCTGCTCTGTTGAAATAAAGCCCAAGTACTTTGCAGTTGGCTGTAAAATGTTAGTTGAATCAACGTCAACATGATATCAATTATAGAGCCCTCTTCATTATCTCTGTCATTCATACTGAGCTATTGCAGTCTTCACCTTTATATGGAACATGGCTAGAAAAAGGCTAAATGCATACTATCCATTTTACATATTAAAAACTGTATTGAAGTCTAGCAGATTGTCGACTCTATTGATATCTTAGTACTAGAGGTGTATATTTTATCTTAAATCTTTATGTTATCACTACTGTCTCTAATAGATTAGTTGCATTCACATATAGGAATATACTTCCAGTGCAGGTTAGTCTCTAAACAGTTGTTGGATTTATAACTTCTTGGTAACTGCCACCTAGTAAAACATTTTTTAACTCTTCACTGGGCATCAGGTGGGGAGGGAACCAAACAATCACACATGTGTGACAAATCATCATGGAAATCCTGTCATCATGTATTTGCATTCCAATATCTGCCACTGGTACATAAGTTGTGTCATTTGCATGATTATTTCAATACATATGTCTGGTCATTATGGCTTCCTGTGGATGTCACTGAACAATTCAGAAAAGTCAATGGAGAAAGTGGTTGACCCCTTATTTCAATATTGTTGTTGTTAGTTGCGAAGTCATGTCTGATCCATCGCGACCCCATGGACAACGTTCCTCCAGGCCTTTCTGTCCTCTACCATCCTCTGGAGTCCATTTAAACTCACACCTACTGCTTCAGTGACTCCATCCAGCCACCTCATTCTCTGTCATCCCTTTCTTCTTTTGCCCTCAATCTTTCCCAACATTAGGCTCTTCTACAGTGAGTCTGAAATGAATATTTCAATATTACAGGTGACCATCTCTTGATTATGTGTATAGAGTTAAAACAGCTACAAAGTTGTAGAGCAATAGTTCATTCATTCATTTTAATTTCAACCAGGAGTATGTAGGGAAAATGACAGAACTTTTTCATTTCTCATGGTAGGTCTTCACCCTTATTTCTGGCACATTCAGTAATAGCATGTCAATATTATTTATTCCTCATTTGGAAGAGACCCTCCTAAGTTCTATAGCATATTAGCATAATATAGTGTAAGATGCTTTTCTTTAATAAGTTTCATGTAGGATTCCAAGCTTCACATTTTATGCAATGATACAATGGAACAGACCTATACAACAAATTTAAAGCATGTCACTATCATGTAAAACAAATGTCTATATATGTTTGTAGTTAGAGGATGCATAATTGTCTCTGCTCCTTTGTCCTTTGGGCTGTAAAGCTAGAATATTGAAGAAGCCTATGGTAACTCTTCATGAGACCTGAAATATCCAAATCTGTGGCACTGTTTTCTTTGCTCATAGAGTTTTTAAACTTGCTCCTTCCTCTCACTAATGAAAAGGCTTCAGTTTTCCAACTGCTTTTAAATGAACAACTGATTAGTTTTCAGTTGTATTTGTGGAACTATTTTAAAAATATTTTAGGGAAATTGTATGCAGTAGACCTAGCCTGGAAACTAGGAATATAAATTTTGTTTTGTTTTCTTTTGAGAAAAAATGGAAAATTATGCCATTTTCAATGATTTACAAAGGTCATTTGTGACCCATTCTTGCTTCGTTATATGATAGATGGGGAGATCTGCTGTAACACATCATATTCTGTTGTAGCATTACAATCTCCAATAGAATATCAGCGGAAAGAAAGCAGCAGCTCAGCTGTAATGAGACCCCAGACCAGCCGGGCACCTCAGCCCATCACCAGACCCTATTCCTCAGGACCTGTAGGATCTGATAAAACTTCAAAGGCTACAATGCGCAACCCATCTCTTCCACCTCTGAAGATATCTACCTCCAATGGTAACACAGGGCATGAACAGCACCAGCCTGAGGACAGATATGAACAGAACAAGGTAATGGAACCACGTCCATTCTAAATTTGGCCAGCTGTTGATCTGGTTGGTGGAGGAAGAAGTAGTGGAGACACAATAAACTATTGTTTTTTGAAGAATCCATATTTGCTTGTATAATGCACCAATCTGTATGGCATGGTTTACAAATCAGAATAGTTGACTCAGAGGTGGTTGCTCCCGGTTCAGCCAAGATTGGGCGAACTGGTAGTAGCAGTGGTGGGAGGCAAGCACGTGCATGAGCACAAGGGAACCAATAATTAAAAAATTGGAAACCCACCACTGAGTTGACTTTACATAGTAGAGTATTCCAAACCAAACTTAACAAAATATGTTACCTGAATCAGGCTGTACAGTAAATATATAATACATGATCTGTGTAGTCATTAAACGAAGAAATATGTACCATTTTTTCAGAGTATAAGGTGCACCGGAGTATAAGACGCACCAAGGTTTTGAAGAGGCAAATTAAAAAAAAAGTTTTTGCACTGCAAACCTTCCAAAAACAGTCTGTTTTTCGCAAAAATGGCCCCCCCTTTTTTTTCAAACAAAGAGCATGAATAGCCCTTAGGAGGCTTGTAAAGTACTCCTGGGGGTGGGAGAGCCAAAAATGAGCAAAAAATGGCCCTTTTTTTGTCAAAAGGAAGGGCGTGGATGGCCTTTAAGAGGCTTATAGAGTGCTCCTAGGGGCTGGGGGCAAAATTGAGCAAAAAATGGCCCATTTTTTGGTCCTTTCTGCCCTCTCCAGCCCCCAGGAGCTCTCTGAAAGCCGCCTAAAATCTATGCACGGCCATTTTGGTGAAGAGGCCGGGGTTTCCAGAGGCAAAAAATGCTGTATTCAGTGTATAAGACGCACCCAGATTTTCAGCCTTTTTTGAGGGAAAAAGGTGTGTCTTTCTTATACTCCAAAAAATACGATAAGTTTATTTTATCATAGTGAAAACACAGTGGGATGCTAAGGAAAAACTTAACAGCCTACTGTATGAAGAATGAAGGAAAACCGCTAAAAAGCAAGCAGTCTACCTGCTGACAAACATTAGGCATTAATCATTAAACAAATGTTGATTGATGCCTTTACACTTTTTGGCTGCCTCTTTTGAAGAAGTGATATAAGGAAAGGTTGCTTAACTATTTGACCAACCACCAATTTTCCCTTCAAAATTATTGTTCTCTTCTGTGAGTCTCTAGATGTGGATTTAAGCAACAGGCTGTTTGAAATTTATGCACTTTGCTTCCCAAATGAGAATTTCAGCTTTGATCAACTGGAAAGATTAATAAATAAGGGACATAAACATAATAGCATGCTCAAGCCAACATTGTATTGTAATTTGCTTTAGATTTTGCCTCATCTGATTTGCTTGAATTGCAAGGATAAAAATGTAGCCTTAGTTCTACTCAATATTGGCACTCGGTAATCTTTCCTTTGTGTTGTAGATAATGCTAGTACTTGAACGGTTTCCAGGCAATTAAAAAACAAACAAGCTTTGGACATCTTTTTAATAGCAACATATGCTCAGATTCAAATTTGAGATTTGAGAATACAATATTGCTTTCATACTGGGCCTTTTATTCTGAAATTGCTACTATACAGTTCAATGTCAATGGTCCAAGCAAAATGGTATTAATTTCAGTGGGTTTTGTATTCCCCTTTTGTTTGTTTTTTCAGTCTGATTTGTAGTGCTCTTAAGGTCCTAAAAGAATTAATGCCTCCATACCTCATCTTGTATCAGTGGATATAATACTGCTTCAGTTTTTAAGGGGTGATTTGTCTATCCTATTAATTATCTTGTTGCTGGACTTCCCAGAATGGTGATGAAAAGTTAACATTATGCCACAGTTATCTTGTTGCTATTCTCTATGTTTCCTCTTCAGAATGACTTGAGTGGGTGCAATGGAACCTCTTCTATGGTGGTCATCAAAGATTACTATGCATTAAAGGAGAATGAAATCTGTGTCAACCAGGGTGAAGTGGTCCAAGTACTTGCCATTAACCAGCAGAACATGTTCCTTGTATACCAGCCTGCCAATGACCACTCACCAGCAGCAGAAGGATGGATCCCAGGGAATATCTTGGCTCCCCTCACTAAATCAACTACAGATAGTAGCGACGGAAGCATAAAGTAAGTGCTGTGTTGGATTCCCCGGGAGCAGTATGTGGATTTTTGAGGAAAAATTAAACACAAATGGTAGGATTTTCCTACTGTTTCCTTAGATCTTCAGTGCCATTGGAACAAACTATGCTTGATAACACAGCATGGGGTATTCATAGTTGGGTTTTTTGTTGGTTTTTTTGTGTGTTTTTCCACTTATAATTTATAAAATATTAAAATCCATAGACAATTTAAAAAGCATGGTTTATGTTCTCCATCTTTTCCTAATCATGGACCTAGTTGACTGGATTTCTATTTATCTTGTGTTTAAATAACATGTGTGCGTATGTGTGTAGACCCATACACACATATGTGAATGTGAAAGGGTGTGTGTGTATATATGTGTGAGAGAGAAACAAACAAAACAAACATTGCTCTCCTCTACTGGCTTGAGTCCTGCTTCTAAAGGAAGAGATTTTATGTTGTCTATGGCAATTTCTTGTACAGTTTGTAACATTTTCCTTTTGTTTTGTTTTTTCTGTTCGCATATTTTGTATAAAAAAAAATTTGTTTGATAAATCCCTTTTGCAGTACATTCCTGTAAAAAGTATTTTGCACTATTTAAAAGAAATCCCATATTTGAAGTCAGATTGTGCAATATTATGGATAGTCGCAATGTTCATCATTGTACCTGTAATGTAACTAATAATTTTAAATGTACTATTTTAAATATGTAAAATAAATTTTCACTATGAGCATGTTTTGAGAAGATTATAAAAGGACCAATTTCTGACCCTCTTTAGTTCTTTTTTTCTTTCTATGTTTTGTTCCTAATTTAATGAAATGTGAAATACTCTCCAATTTTTTTGTCATTTTGTTAATTTGAAATGACTAAATGCAAGAAAATGTTTTTTGATATTAAATACAAAAGGTACAATCCTTTTCCATAAAAAAACTGTTGTTGTTTTTTTACACCTGCAATTGTCAAACCAGTATCAGTTTTCTCACACCAAGTCACCAAAGCTTGATTTTGCCAGTGGTAAATATTAAATATTGTGATTTAAATGCTGAAATACAATACCATGTTCCTTTCAACCAATCACTAAGCCTGGTTCTGATGCTGTCATCCCAAGAGCTTATATATTATTAATTATAATAGGGATAAACCCATACCAGTTGCAGATATGCCCTTAGCCATTGCTTACTCTTGCTTTTTCATAGATACTAACCAAGTTCAACTCCAAACAGGATTTCTCTTTCCACCAAGATGAAATTTGATAAGAAGGAAGAATTGGTGATATCCATGATTAAAAAAAAGAAGAAAAAAGAGAATGGGCCTTTGAAGCAAAACCTAATCATTTCTGTGTTAATGATTAATAATGTGTTAATGAGAGTGGTCTGACAGTGGCAGAATTATATGGTCTAGTCAGTCTGCACATCCCATGAGCATAGCTAGAAATTGGCGGTGTGTGAAATACTTGGCCTTCCTTTCATAGGATAATACTGAGGAATCACCGAAGTGATCACTGGGGAAACTCTGAGGCTGAGTCTTGCCAATTGTGTGTAATTAGACTGAATTGACAGCTGCTTAAATCTCAGTAACAGCCCAATAAATAGTTCCTGAGAATGATAAGATGTGCTGCTAATTGTTCCCTTAAGTTAGCCTGTTTAGGACCGCTTCATACATGATAGCAATTGACTTAAAAATGCTACTCCTGCACAGCGGTGGCTTCGTCTAAGCCCCTTAATGTCTTGCTACAGAGAAAATGGTGTCATTTACATCAGCAACTTTTCAGGAATAAAGCTGCTCTACTCTAATGTCCTTGATGAGACAAACGCTGAAGCTATGAAAATAAAGCATGACATACCAGGCACACAAAATGAATACCAAAGATGGTGAAATAAGAGATTGGGTGTGAAATGCAATGAGGGAACAAATACACAGAGAAGGCACACACACACACCAATACACGAGAAGTGAAACAAAAATAAATGAGGACGTAAGGAAATTTGTCAGTGTAAAAATTAAGGGTATTGATATAGGCTTTGGTATAAGGCTATACCAAACCTAAATTCACACATTGCTCAAATGTCTTGAATTATGTAAATTTTTTCAGTTATCTTTTTTAGAAGCCCATGAAATTACTTGCAGATTTGCACCTGTCATTTATAGCTATTTGGTGAAGATTTCATGTTATTGTAGAATGGTGAAGGGGCAAGGGAATTGTGTAATGTTTTCTGCATCCTGTTTCAGAGATGGGCCTTATCTGAACGTAAACTAGAAATTGAGAATCCTTGCCTCCTTATTACTATTACAAATTTAAACAGAAAGAGAGAGCAAGGGTTCTAGAACCATCTAATTTCACCTGTTTTACTTTCTTTAATAATGTTTTCATTCTTCTTGCTGGACTTTTGTACTTAGATGGACTCAGCTGTAATCTTGAAATATTTTAATGAGATCTATTATCAAAAGTCCTCCTCAAATACTTTTAATACACGCATTCATTGCATATTATAAGAACAGGACCATAGCCCTAGTTTTATATATATTGCATTTACAGACCTGCTGCTGGAAAAGCAAAAGAAGAGAGAGATTACACAACTCCATTCATTCATTGAATGTACCTATTGAAAATGGGGGGGGGGGAGGGTAAACTTTTTTAGAGTAAATACCACAAGATATAAACCCACATATATATGGGTTTATATATCTTGTTCAGTAAGAATCTGAAAAGCTACTTAACAGACATTTCTTGAAGTGCCAACACAAGCTAATAAGTATTCATTCACAGGAACTAAAGGAGGTTGCAGGAGAAAAGCCGAGCCAGACTTGCAAGATTCTGTTGTTATAGGCAATATTAATAAAAGGAGCATTGGCCTTCGTGTGGAGTTGATTTGTGATTGGTTTGGTCCACATTGTGGAGCTGACAGTGGAGTACTATCATTAATTATATAATTGATTTAAGATTAGATTTCATTCCTGCCATGACTCTGTCTGCTTTTAGAAACTCAGCACATCGTTCAAAAGCTTAATGCAGCCTTTGACCTAAACACTGTTGTTGCTGTGTTGCAAAATGGGAACAAATTGTAAGAAACCTTCATCTGGTCATCCATTTTCACTAGAGGCATTATTAAATAGCTTTAAAAGATTTTTTTTTAAAAAATTCATGTACATCTGTATACTGTTCTAATCATAGATCCCAGGTGCATATGCATAAGCATTTACTGCCTCCTATTTAGCATGCTTGCTGCTATTGTATTACCCTGTTGCTCTTGCGACAATTGTGATATGCTTTGTAGAATCACCTATTTGTATAGTATGTCACTTTGGTTCTGCATGAAAAAGGCACAATAGCAGGCTACTTACCTTTTGTTTTAAGTATTTCTTTTCATTTCAGTGCACTTCCCAAACCTACAAATATATTTGGAATTTGAAGAATATAACTTCTGCTAAAAACCTAAAATCCTACTTATAAATTCTATATTTTTCCACTTTACCTTTCATGCTGTTTTCTCTCTCCTACTTCTCCATCCCAAAGAAAAGCTGCTTACTGATGTCATACCACTTTATTGATACCATAGCACAATATGAATACAGTCAATTTAATTCTCTCTTACTTAGAAGGCGTTTTTTTGTTTGGCAAAACATTATTGACGTTGGACTGATCAAATGCAGGCAGACTAAAACATCAGGAAATTTAATTATAATGAAACTTGCTCCAGGGAATAGCCAATTCTGTTACTTTAATAAAATTGCAGTTGAACTTTTGATGTTTTGGAATATGGCACTGAATTCTGGAATATGGAACTATTTGTCCATATTGGGGGCACACAGACTTCTCTTTCTATTCTAATACTTCTTGCTGCTTTAGTGTCTAGTACTAAATCTTTGCATGTTACCAATCTTACATAATACAGCGTGCTTTTCCTCTGTATTTGAAAGATAACGTTTGGGTTCCAACAGGAATAACTGTATTAGAATAGTTTGAATTTAAGGTTTGAATATGTATATATCCAAGTAGAGATATTGCAGGTGGCTTCCAACTCCTTTGGAGGAGCTGCAGAGATTTAGAACATGTATGCTCCTTGCCTTTCCACCTCCCTTCCTCTTCCTACTAAGAGCTGCTATTTGATTAGTGCATTTTTTGGTATAACAGGAAGTCATGTTCATGGCATACCCTGCGCATGAGAAAGCGGGCGGAAAAGGAAAGCAGTGGCAAAACGGAAGCCAATGGCCTACGTATACCCAAGGATATTCTGGGCAACAAAGTCTCTGTTAAAGTGAGTAAGGCCATCTGAAGCTGTTCGCTGCCTACTGCTTCTCATCCTCACTCCCCCTGCAACATCCTCTCTGTGGACAGGGGGTGACATTTTTGTTTTTTTGTTTTTTTGTTTGTTTTTTGTTTCCCTTGTTTTGCTTTTATTTTAAATTTCTTTTACTTTTTGGTAGTAGTAGCCATTCTGGCCGGCGTTTGCATGCAGGATTACAGCACAGCTTTTTTCTCCTCACCACTGGCATCCAAAACTGTAAGTAGAGTGTATGTGTGTGCTCGTATGCGTGCGTGCATGCATGTATATGTGCCCGGAGGGCGAGTAGTACTTTAATTTCAGTAGTTTTTTTTTACAGTATCCCAAATATATGTGTGGTAAAAGCTCACAAGAGTTGAATGGAACCAAAGCATGCAGCCTAATTAGGAACTATTGTAAATATGTTCTCATCATTTTTTAATAAGAGATAAGAAAACTTGAGGAATGGTAAGCCATGACAATGTAGTACAGAAAAATGATTTGGTAGGGCTCCTTTGTCTGCCTAAGGTCTTACATTATAGCTTTTCAGGCCTTACAGAACCATTCGTCTTAGAGAAGCTACTATACTGTAGCATTCGAATCACAGCCTTTGCTTTCTAAGAATTGGAGATGAGAAAGAAAACCAACACGTTCCTCCTATTTTTCAACTCTGAGCTGGATATGCACTGTTCCAGTTTTTTCTCCTGACTTTGGCATGACACTCATGGAATTTTATCTCTTCTGTAGAAAGAATTCAAATAGCTTCCAGTTTATATGATTGGTTGATAGACAGACAGACAGACTTATTGTCCCTGAATGTACACTAATCGGCATACATTAAAATGAAATGTCATTGTATACAACTCTCAAAGGGTCACCACCTCCAATACAAACTACATACACATGGCTAAATAAACACAAAGTTATGCCTATACCTACATTTATGTGACACAGAAACAGCACAATCTAGTTCAGATGTATACATGTACATGGCTTAAGAGGTAATAGTGGGGACAACTAGCTTTTTCTTCCTCCTGCTGTTGTCCCCAGCTCAATTGGTTACAAGCTTATTGATGGCAACTAAAAAATACAGAAGACATCACTGCTGTGAATGGTCCCTCTTTCCATTACATTTTGATTTCTTTATGTTATAGCCCAAACTTGGTAATTCTTCATTAAACAAGTATGTATAGTTTGATAAACCTTTGTAAGAGAACTAGTGTGATGTTATATGTTGGACTAGAAGCAGGATATAGAAGCTGGTTAGATGATTTGGGACCAACTGTAAACACACAGCCGTAGCCTGTACAAAATCTATCAACCTGCACTAGATTGACATGATAATTTATAGTCCATAAATATCACTGAAGATGCCTTCATCCTGCAATGGATTGATTTGAAATAATAACAATAGCAAAAGTAATATCACTATCACCCTTTGAAAACTTTCATGAGGCCTGGAGATGTAGAAACCTGCAGCTTTCCCTTTTCCTATCTCAATAGAATTGACATACATTGTTTCATGTAATCTGTTTTGTGCAGTTGTATAATATAAATAGTGTATGAGTTGTATTCAATAGATACTTCAATCCAGAAAATATGGATTCAATAGAATTCTTAAGTTATGTGATTAGCCCTAATAAGAACTTCATATACCATATAAGGCTATAATATGATTTGTTTGCTTTAGTTTAGCATGTTATGAGTATTGTTCAACAGTGCCAGACCGAGCTATATTAACTCATAAACTAGTTTGGCATGGATTTAATGTACTGTGTAGACTCCATATATTGTCACTTCCATAGTTCCTATGGTTAAATCTAGTCCATACTATAGAAGGGAGAAAGATTAAGGAATGCCCAGTCAAAGATTTACTGTGATAGATCCACAGATTTCAAGTGATCTGGAAAATACATATTAAATAAACACAGTATAAAACTATTCTCTAATCACCTGCTATCTTTCTGGAAGTTTGTACAGTTATTCAAATGTGAGGGAGAAAATTCTTAAGAGACTTAAGTAAAATTTATCCATTGTGACATTCATGAGAATTAGATTTTCACACCTTCTCTTGCCATATGTTATACTGAGTAAAGAACCTCTAGAGCACTGAAATCAGCTGTCAAATCCCAGAATATCTTCTGGCATTGATTTCAACCGTAACTTGGACCAGGCAATTAAGATTCAGTTCTTAATCACTGAAAAACCAGATAGGATAGGATAGGAATGAATGAGGCTTGAACAATTGAACTATTATTCCAAGTTATCCATCCTTTGCCCATATTCTCATGATTGTCTTATGTCTTATGCAGATGCTGTTGAAGCATAATTTATAAATGTGTGTTTCCTTTATAAACTTTCTTGAACGTTGATGTTTGGTGCTATTTGTTGTTGATACCAGAGCAAGACTTGATACAAAACAAGAACTTGTATTCTGGGAGAATGGTACAAATAAAACCTATATCTCTACATTTATTTCTTCCCCACCTCCCCTTTAAATCCTATTCTAAAATTAAGCAGATCTCTGTTTCTCTGTCACAAAGAGTTCTTATCCAAATTCAACTTGATTCAGCAAGGATATTGCCAGTTTAAACTTGTGCTTTTGCAACAAAATTGTTCTACTTTCCCTTTTAATTAATATTTCCCAGGTTTGTGTTTGCATTGTTTCGTGGAAGTAACAGATGTTAGAAAGAAATAGAAATGCATATATTTCTATTTGTTGTAATTGCTATAAACTGGGATAGAACTTCTGTATGTTTCATAATTGGGGAGAAGGAGGAATTTGTGCAGTTGCAACAGTCCCCACTCTTCCAGAATTCCTCCTCTGTAACTATGAAAGACAAGAGGAACCCTATTTTATCTGAACAATTTCAAATATGTGATCTGTGTAAAAACAAATAGACATTTACAGTTCCACAAAGATGGAAAATATTTGTCAACCAGAAAATACTATGAATCATTAGTGTTTATCATCATTTCACTTTACTGCATTCCATTAAAATCCCACTACTGATTTAAACCAAGATTATAACGTTCAAGAAAAAAAATCACATATATCATAATACAATATTAAAATCCTAGCTAATAGTTCTAGTACATTTAAATTTACTCATCCTTTACAGAAATATTATTTTTTAAATTTGACAGCACTATATTTTAATTCTTTTTCTTCAAATTCTGATTTAAAGACTTTTAGAAGAAACATACAGAGATGTTTAATACCAGCTTCTTATATTCTCTTCCTTAACATTATTGTTCCAGGGATGCAAAATTGCTTGTATTTATATTTAAATACTGGAGATTTAAATAATAAATTCTATGCCGGAAAGCTAAAAGAGGATATAAGATTTGGAGTGTTTTTCTTAAATATAAAGTTATCTTTTCTACATAGAGGACAACATTTTATTTTATCCCATTTATTTCAAAACCAATATATTATTCTGATCACATGGCTTTAAATTTTATTAAAATTAAATTTAATTTTATGGGGATAAAGCATAAAATACAAATCAATTATATCAAATATTAAATAAATATTAAAGTAAAAAGTAATGAAGTATTACCCATTTCTAATACCCAGACTGTTAAAGAATAGTCTTGGCAAAATTATCAAATCCATTATTATTCTGGCATGAGCTACCAAAATTGAAAGTTTAGAGAGGTAAACATTTTATTTTTGATAAAATAGATTTGTAATTTGTCAGAATTACTTTATCAATAAAGTAATTGTGAATGGATTAACAATTTTCTTTCATTGGCAGGAATTTCTTCAAAAAATGTTCTTACTCATAAAGTGGGAAGAGGGAGTTTGGGATCTGGTTGGTTGGTTTGCAAATTCCCACTGCTTCCCAGAAATACACAGATCATCCGTCTATCCATTATCTGTCTGTCTGTCTATCTATCTGTCTGGTGTGCTGACCAATTCTCAATAACCCGGGTGGGGGCTCACAATCAACCAATTACAATAAAATCAATAAAACTGGCAAGTGCAACAGATCAGAGAGATTGAAGGGAAAGGTCTTAATCTCCCTTGCACCTGGTGAAGAGCCCGTTGTTCATGGCTTTTCTAAACAACATATTTGGGAGAACTTCATTCCAGAAGGCACAAACTGCTACATATAGGTGTGTTTTCAGGTGACCCACCATTGTTTAATCAAAGGAACTCAAAGATTTCAGTGGAACAGATGATCAGAATTGCTTCTTGTCCATTTTGTCAGTGGAAAAGGTTTTCTGGACCTTTGATGAAAAAAGTCCAGGGCAGCAGGAAGCTTTGTTGGATGAGATCCATTGTCTTCTCTTGACTGCACTTTGTTACCCACTGACTTCTATTTACTTTCCTATCTCAACTACATTATGCAAAATTGCAGTTTAAGATACTAATTCCAGCTATGGACTCTATATCATTTGTCGTAAGATGCCACAAAACTCTTTGTTACTATTTCTTAAAAGTTAATTTTGATTTGTGATTTTTGCTCTTTAAAAAAAACTTTCTGTTTTAAGCTCAGAACACAGCCTTTTCTGAAATGTTTTATTTTATTGCCTGAGTTGACAGCATCCTAACAAAAGCCAAACAAAAGTGGCTTAATTGTTCTATGCTATGAAACAAAACTTGGATGCTGTCCAGTGTTCTAGCATAGAAAACAGGGATGGGGGGGAATCTTGTGCTCCCTAAATTATTCACACACAGTTGCTACCCTCCTACCCTACAGTCTGCGGGAAAATTGTCCAAGATAATTGCAAAGAGAAAACAATGGAATCTTTTTTTTCACATAGAGATTGTGTAATGTTTTCAAATTTATTTAAATTATGGCTTCTTCAACTACTGACTGGTAGCAATCAGAATGGATTGCTATCCTACACACTTAACAATGCCAAGTAGAAATCTAGGCATATATTTTTCTAACACATGCTCAGAGCAACTATTTTAATGCAAAATGTAATGTTAGTTCCCAAAAATAAAGCTAAAAAGCAACAGAGCATCCAGTTAGCTAAGTACTGAAAGAGCAAATCCTCTTTTGAACAGACAATATATTAGATCATGCCGCCCCTTCTTTATATACACAAATGAGCATTTATGGTGATTGAAGAGACCCTATTTATGGATGAATTCTATCAATGTCTTTGGTAGGAGGGGAGTCAAATTCGAGATCCGGTTGTGCCTGTCTTGGTGTTGTGTTGTGTGTGTTCTGTCAAAGGATTATCAAGTCTGTCAACACTGATTGAGCATATTTGGTAGGCACCTCCCTCCTTAAACAATCCATTCAGTGAATGGAGGAAGGATGTCCTTCAATGCCATAGCAAATGTGCTACTTTCTGCTGTGCGCTTGCATTTATCTAAGTGAGAATTAAGAAATAAAAAATAAAAAAATGATATTCAGATTTTTCATACTGGATTCACTTCTGAATTCTGGGCTATTCAAGTTTCTTACAGTTGTAGCACATAAAAAAATTAATGATTGACATTTGATCACATGGCTGAAATTCTTTAAAAAGGGCACCCCAAAAGATTGACTAAAGCACTAGACTATTGACTCATCCAGAATTCTTATTTACTTGCCAGAATTGGATTGAAAGGTTATTTAGATATAATTATGTCGGCCAAGTTCCAAGAGCCCTCCCAAATGGGGAAGCTGATATAGCAGAGGTAGCGTTTCATAGTGCTGCTTCCATTTAATGTATTTTTTCTAAATTCTTTAAAGGCAGTTTTCCTTTTATTTTGCCCAGAGTGTATTGCTTGCACCTAGTGACTTTCTGTTGGAAAGTATTTTGAGTTATTGGTGGCCATTTCTATGTTGCTCTTAATTGCTCTGCTCTTCTCCTCTTTAATCTGTCTGCTGATCAAAACTCTGTTCTTTTTTCTCCATGCTGCTCAAAAGGAGACAAACAGTTCAGAAGAGTCAGAATGTGATGACCTTGACCCCAACACTAGCATGGAGGTAGACCATGATCCTTTCTATCCTCCCTCTCTCAAATCCAGTATTATATTCCCCAGAGAATTGTATGCCTGTTTTGAAATAGTATCTATAAAATTTGGTGTCTCTATTTTAAAAGAGGGGATGACTGTGGTATACTGTAGTTTCAGAATGGAGTTCCTGTCCCCAACAGAAGATCTTAGGCAGCAAACTATCTCCCATTTAATTTTAACAATATCCTTCTAACAACAATGTGAGAATTACATGTAAGATACCAAATTGTCTTGGGTTTACTCTGGATAGATTCATTCTGTAAATGAAGCTGGGACTTCCACTGTGAGCTAACACATCAATATGTACAATTAATGTCTCAACTGTTATGAATTCAGCTGGTTTGCTCTTTCTTGGTTCCACTGATCTAACTTTGAATGGGACAGTCTGATATGGTAAATAATATGTGATGGGAGGTATCTGTTAATTAGAATTTTGATCCGACTGCAATAGATAAAGAACCATAATAGTTCAGTATTTACAACAAGGTCAATAGCCATCATAAGTGTTTGCTGTACTAGTGAAATGCAACTGCTAACAGTAAATGAGTACAAAGGACAAAAGTCGTATAAGAAGACATACATCAAGGAGTTAAAGTTTTCTTGGGAATCCCTGAGTTTTGGTACAAGATATTGACTGTGAAGTTACTTAATCACTTAGAAGATTGAGCATTGCAAAAGATCCTTTCCACTGAAAATAATTGAATAATAAATAAACAATAACATTACAATATGAAACACATAGATAGATTAAAATATAGAAATACACACATAGATTAAAACCCAGAAATGAGGAAAAATGGAAAAGGCCTTCTAGAACAGGGATCTTCAATCTTGGCAACTTTTAAGACTTGTGGACTTCAGCTCTGAGAATTACCCCGTCACCCCTCCTGGCTGAGGAATTCTGAGAGTTTACAAGTCTTTAAGTTGCCAATTTGGAGACCCCTGTTCTTGATGACAACACATCACTAAGCAAATCTGTTTTAGAAAGAAAGTATCTGCCTGTGAGTTTAGAGATGAAGCTCTTGTTATTGGGTGGAGAAATAATACAGAAAACCACTTTGCAATGATGTAAAAGTCCTTCTAATGTTCTCAAACCATTTGGAAAACATAAGAATATTAGAGTTTCATAATTAGCATGTTTGGGATACCTGTAGCTACCTGTAAATGGGACTGTGCAGATCCTTCCAAAAATGTACTTCACAATGCTTGGGTATATGTACAAAACATTTTTTCATATCCACAAAGTCCAGTAATGATGTAACTACTTTACTGATCTGAAGAATAGTGCTTTTCATAATTTTTTTTGCATTGTAGAAGACTTCTTTCTAACAATTTTCATAGTCCTGATATTTAATATATTAGAACACCTAAAGTCTGTATTCCTTTACCAATTCATAAGCTATATTTGTGGACTTTGGGTGATACAGTACATAGTCTGCACTGAAGTCCTACCTGCCCACTTCCTTGCTGTGTTTGCTTTTGGCTAAGCAGTGCTTCTGCTGATATCACACTGCTTGCTGTTGCCTTACAATTATAGTTTATTTTCAAAGCCTTTCAATAGAATATCTATTGCTACTGCTTTGCCGATTTATTCATATAAGTTTGAAGCCAATGGACAAAGAAAAAGGAAAAAAAATATGAGTTTGGAACAAAACAAGATGCAGCAGTAATGTTTGTTTAGATGAGGCAAGGGAGAGGACTTAAAATGCTGCTGTTCAAGTACTACAGGAGTAGTAAACTCTATGTGAGCAAAAATAGAAATTTCTCCACATATTTTTCTTATATTGTCCCCATGAAAATAGAGCAAATCCCTCACTAACAATTTGTTTCTTGGCAAAGAGACCCCTTCTGTGGCCGTTATATATTTGTGTTATCCACCTTGCCTCAAAACACTGTTGATTACCTAATTGTTCCATAATGCTCACTCCATAATGTTCCTCTATATCAGTGATGGCAAATCTTTTCAGCACCAAGTGCCGAAAAGGAAGCACACGCACGCGGAACATCAAGTGCCAAAAAAGAAGAGGAGTTGCCCAGGGGGCATGCATGTGCCGGAAAATGTAGTTTTGGTTTCCGGTGCATGCATGCGTACTGGCCAGCAAGTCTTTTGGTTTCTGCCACGCATTCGCACATGCCGATCAGCTGGCTGGCATGTATGCTCATGCCAGAAAATGGAAGACCAGCTCTTCCAGTTTCTGGCACTACCACACACACAAAGGCCAGCTGATCGTCGCATACGCATACACACCAGAAACCCGAAAGAGGAAC